CGTGGCCCCTTGGGGCCCCCAGACTCCTGGTTGAGAACCAGGGCACTAAACCACAGTTCCATTTCCACTCTGAAGAGAAACTAGAGCTGCCCTCTGAAATTATGTGGTGAAGATGTCAGGCTTACACAAAAAAAACACCCCCCTCCTCCCACACCCACTCTCCAAGTCCAAAGATTTCTAACGAGCTGGAAGTGCAACTGAATAAGACAAGGTGAAAAAACACAGCACAGTAGGATCAACATGCATTGAGGAGTAGCACCAGGTTCAGCCAGTACAAAGGAGGGCCAGAATTTTCAATTAACAGATGGTTTGGGGTTTTCAACTTGACACACTTTAATGGGGCCTGATTTTCAGAGGCTGGGAGTTCAGCACTTACTGGAAGTCAGGCTCCATTAAGGTGTCAAGTGGAGCATTCAGAATTTGAGGCACCCCAAATCCATAGTCACTTTTGAAAATCATGGCTGAGTTGTAAGCCAACTTTGCATGCAACTCCTCAGTTTTCGCTGTTAGCACTCTCTTCTACTGTCAGACTAACTTGGTGCAAATGGCACACTCTCTACTGGCTGGCAACAGTAAAGGTTGAGCTACAGCCTTACTTGAACAATTTGGATTTTGAGAAAGGAAATGCAATGAAGACACAGGAAAACTTTGAGAGAAAACAAGACAAAAATAACTGGAGTAACTGATGTTCACTTACGAAAATGGCATTGGAAAGGCAAAACGCTCCCTCAGGTCAACACTCATGAACGGGACATACTCAATACCATTTATCTTTGATGTCTTTCTGCATATCATAAAAGGAGAACATGATCGTAAGTGTCAAAGTTGGACCATAATGTTCAAAGCTGTTTTGTTTTACCAACTTCCAGAGCACAACACCCAGGAAATAACAATGAAAGTAATGAAAAAACAGAAGCCAAGAAATGGTGCACTTGAGAACCGGTGGCATTCTGCCTCAAATAGGGAATAACTACAAGTTCTACATTTCTAAAGCTGGAGTACTTGCTGGGTTGGGCATCAATCAGTTGGCACTTTAAGAGATGATTTTTTCATATTCATCTACTTTTAATCATTTAGTCAAATAGTAAAAGCGGTACAAATGATAACACTGGATGTATTTATTAGTGTATTTGCAAAGAGATACTCAAGTGCACACAGAGCTATAGATGGGAGCTATATATATATATATATATATAAGTTATAACTTTGTGAAAATAGAAATTTAAAGACATTGTTGAAAGTATATTTAAACAAATGTATTTTAAGGCCTTGGACCTCAATGGTACATATTGGTGTGCAGACAGCAGACCGTTGTACCTCTACAGAGGACCATTGGTCTGCTTTTGTGTGTGTCTTCCTATAGATGGGAGCTATTTTAGATCAGGAAGAATCAAGAAATATGTACAAGCCAGATGTGACCGTAACAAGTTTCAGTGACTACTGCTGAACAATAGGTAGTCAAAATAACAACAACGATATTTTCAAAACAAAAGATATATAGGATTTAAAGCACTGTGAAGTTCTCTTTGAAGCTTTAGAAAGGTTTCCATTTCACAATTATCAGTTAAGATAAAAAAGGAAACTTGTTTTTAAAATGAAACTGGTTCATTCAACTGTCCAACTTTTCCTGCACAAAACATATTTATATTGTTAGGGCCTGATCCAAGCCCATTGAAGCCAGTGGAAAGACTCTCACTGACTTCAGTGGGCTTTGGATCAGGCCTTAAGTTTTTAGGACCCAATCCTGCACAGAGCTGGGCACTACTAACCTCCACTGAAATCTTACATTCCAGTATCTGTTTGAAAATGAAAGCAGAGCGCATCTGTCCAGACAGTGTCCTTTGGAAGGATTTTCCTACACTCCACTGCCCCACAGTTTGGACTACGGGGATGTGAATAGCAGTATGCACCAAAGTGCTGCAATGTAATTCCCCTATGAGGACGCTGCGAGTGTGAACTAAAAAGTTCCTGGTTCACGTTAACGGGACTACATTAAACAAATTAAGAACCTTTTAGTTTGCATGTGCAGCACCCACAGAGGAGAATTACAGTGTAGTACTGTAGTCACACCCCTGCAGTCCAAACTGGGGTCACTGTAGACATAACCTAAGATGCATTTGATGGAGTTTTCAATACTTGTAATTTGAACTCAGGATATTCTCTATTAATTGTTGAACACCAAAGCATGTACAATTTGTGTGTCTGATCCCACTCCCATCAAAGTCAATGCAAGAAGGAGTGGGCCTAAGTAAAGACCAACCCTGCAAGATGATAAACACCCTTAATTCCCACTCAATTTTACTTGAGAGAACTCTGTAAATCTTACAAGGATCTCAGCACTTCACAGGATCAGACCCCTAGATGATACACTCATTCAGGTAGGAAATAAATGTGTGGCGTCTATGTTCTGTACTGCACTAAAGAAATAATGAATACACAGAGATAACAGAAAAAATACTTAATCCATTAGGAGAATTAAATTCTCTATCAAATACACCTTACAAAGAATGCTGTCTGACAAGGAGCCATCTGTGTTCACTTACAAAAAGATTATTTTTGGGAACATGTTAGCTTTCAATACAGTAGAACCTCAGTGTTATGAACTGACCAGTCAACCACACACCTCATTTCGAACTGGAAGTATGCAATCAGGCAGCAGCAGAGACAGAAAGGGGAGAAAAAAAAAAAAAAGCAAACAGTACTATGTAAACCGTCAATTACTAAAAATATAAAGGGAAAACAGCATTTTTCTTCTGCATAGTAAAGTTTCAAAGCTGTATTAAATCAATGTTCAGTTGTAAACTTTTGAAAGAACAACCATAACGTTTTGTTTAGAGTTACAAACAACCTCCTTCCCGAGGTGTTCATAACTCTGAGGTTCTACTGTACTGTGGTAATGAATGCTACAGAAATATTTCTCCCACCTCCTTAAAAAGCAACCAACAAAACCAAACCAAAATTACCCATCCCTCCTTCCCCTCGCAAAACCCAATTATATCTCAATCTAGCGCTTTGCAGTAGATTTACATGGATAATACAATTTGGGAAAATTGGACTGTATCTTACCTGAGCACTTCAATCTCCTCTGTGGTGTATCTCTGGCCTTGAGATTCACTAGCTTGCACTGTTCTGATTGTCTGTGGCTTATCATTCAAGGAAAAATCAGGTCCCAATGGAAAGAACATTCTGACTGGCTGATTCGGTTTAGCTGCAGTTTGTCTGTCTTTCTGAGAAGACTTTGACATAGATTCTTTCAGTGCCTCCGCTCTAAAACAAATATTCTATGTTTGTTTACAGCAACAACAAATGTATGGTTTAATTATTAATTTGCTTGTTCATGCCTCCATATAATTAACATCAGATGGAAAGACAAACAAAACTATCTATTTTGCTCTTGCTAAAGAAGTCACTTCATGTAGATGTGAAATGCATACTCAGGAAGTTCCTGATGCCAGCATCTCGCTCTACTTTCTCCCGTAGTAAGAATGGCAAAAATACACCAAAAGTAATTAGCATATAAAACAATTTAGGCCTAATTCATTTTCAAGCTTCTGTCGCTTTTAAAATTATGCTAGTTGGAGGATTTATGTGAGAATGTACGTATGTTTTGGAAGCTAAATACAAAAATCAAAATCCATTACGATGTTCACTATTTATGTGGATATGAAGAGATTTAATTTATCATGTTGATATGGACAAGGGTGTTGAAATAATATCTGCCAGAACTCAACATACTACAGACCATATTTTAATCTCAGCTACATTGTTGATTTATGTAGAGTTACTCTGGATTTATATCTGTGTAACTGAGATTGGAATCTAGCCCACTAAATCTACTATATATACACACACTGATATACATACAGATTAAACTAAAGGGTTCAATTTTCCCCTCCATTAAAGCTCCACTCAGTGCAGGGGAAGGGTTGGCTCAGTGCTAGCTTGACCCCAGCATTAGTTAGAGAAGCCAAGGGGCTGCTCTAATTTATGCTGCGGGGGTCCTAATGGACCTAGTGTCAGCAGAGAACTGACATTATGAAACTCCATTCTACTCTTAACCTGTTCTTTCCCTACCCCAGCATATCACCATACCCCTAGAGCAGTAGACACAGGAGCTGCTTCTGTCAGCTTTATGCCAGTGGGGAGCTCTCCTCCAAAAGGAGAACTCTCCATGGGCCATTTCAAGCCAGAATCCATCCCCTTTGTGCTACCTGAGCAACACAAAATGGACAGAGTGGACCAGAGAATCCAGCTCAAAGTATGCATTGTAACCTGATACCAATGGTTTGCATGAGTGTTTTGCAAATACTCACCTATCCAGTGCTTGTCTAGCCAGCTGTTTGAGTTTTGATTGAAGGATTGCATCTGAAGTTTCATTAGCCTTAAGAGAAAAAATAAAATAGCAGGCATTATAAACCTCACCTGTCAATCTAATTCCAGATGTGCAAGTCATACTGCCAAATATCCACTTGTTATTTTTCACCTGTAGATTTTAACCTCAGAATTCCTCCAAATTTGTCTTTTTTTAAACCAGTCAATACTTCCTACACTGAGATTAAAGAAAAAGCAAACTCCACATACTAAGATAAATAAACCTGCTTCTCTCATTGTCTCATCTGAGTGGGTGTGCACAATATGTTAGAATGTAAGGTACTGTTTTAAATTTTTCAGCATGGAAAGCACTGAATTCACATAGAATGCGGGGGTTGGGGGGGGGAATAAATCAAGTTAAAATCTACAGGGGAAAAAGTGCAACCATTAAAGATGTTACATTAAAACACTATTGAACTTGAGCGTATCCCTTTAAGTTTTCCAACTGATTTTTCTGACCCCCCCGCCCCTCCTAAATCAGAGAAACTTATGATAAAAGTAAAAAAAAAAATAAATCAGAAGACTTTCTTCCATTTTTAAAAAACTCTTCAGCTTACAAGTTAAAGTCTCATTCCCAATTTTTCCTGGCTGGAAGGGCCTTGGGAACAGAGCCAGTGGAGGTTGAGGGTGGGATGGAGAGTAGGGTAGGAAGTGACCACGGGAGAAGTGAGAAATGGAATATTCAGGCTGGAACAGATAACTGCTCCCTGCATACGGCCTGCGTAGAAGAACAGACTGGTCTCTCCACTTGGATATGGTAGGCAGAAAGCCCTACAGCTAAGGAACTAAATAGAACCACTGTCGCCAAGAGAGTGAACGGACGGTTTGTTTGGATTTTCTTTTACCTTGGATGGGGAGAGGAACCTTCTTGCACTGCCTGCAGTGTCAAAAGCATAAAACTATCACCTTGCTAAAGCAACAGATTAACCATTCTTCTCACTTGGGTCCCTCATTAGATGCAGCTAGTGTCTGAGTTTCCCTTCACCTTGGGTAAAGTGATATTAATTGTATGCACAATATTTAATCTAAATATGTGGCAAAGCATGGTAACAACAGAGAGTAGGATACAGCAAAGACAACAAAATGATATATGATGAATACCTGCATAGACAGAAAGAGCCCAGGGCCAACAAATCAAAGGGAAAAACATTTAGTCTTTGATTAGACCCTTATCCTGCAAAACTGAACGCAAGTGCTTAACTTCATAGCTTGTGCGGTCCCCCTTTGACTTCTGCGGAACTATTTACCTGAGTGAAGTCAGGCACGTGCTTAAGTATTTGCAGGATTCAGACCAAAACGTTTTAGTGTTTTATGTAAATATTACCTTGAGAAATAATGTTACCCTCCCAATATATCACATAACAAAAAAATGGGCAGAAGAAGATAATCAGACTTGGTGGAGTTACATCATGATGGTGAGCTCTTCCTCTACTGAGTTAGTTTTGGCTACTGGACTTAGTATGAAAAAAGCAGTACCTGTAATATTATTTAGTAACACTTAAATACTAAAAATAATTAGGCAATTATTTATTTCTATTTTAATTGGAATTAATTTGTACAGTGTTAATGTCATAAAAGAAGTTTAGTGAAAATCTGTAGGAATACTTATGTTAAGTGTTACTTAAAAAAAAAAAGCATTTGCCTTTAATATATTAACAACAACAAAAATGTCTCCAATGACACATTAGAGGACCATCTTCTTGGGAGAAGAATTACACTTTAAACTGTTTTAGCTTTCTACTGGCTACAGGCCATAGATTCCAAAAGAATATTCCAGCAAACGTATATGGTTTATATACATTTTAAAGAGAGAGTCTAGGAAGAAAAAAACCCACATATCAATTTTACACTGTTGAAGAACAGTGCAGGATCAAGTGAATGTAGCCAATGTATGCAAAGTATTTTTCAATGGGATGTAGAGAACAGAAGGCAAATAAAACACCAAAACAAAAAAATCAAAATACAGGTACTACATTTTTAAGCCAGCCTCTAAAGATCAGTCACCTGTGTAAATGGAAGAATTTCTTACCAACACATAATTCCACCAAGTTAACTTGTAGCATAACATACTGTTTTCAAACTGAGTTCCACTGCTTCTGTGTACAATTCTATAGCTTCCTCTGCATTGCCTTTGTCATCTTCATCAAAAGCCTGTGTAACCAGGAAATGGGCACGCTCCAGGTCCAATTGCTGTTTTGACTTCAGAGGGTCGGTGTTCTGTGATTGAACTAGATTTTAAAAAATACAGCATTTAGCTAGCTGTGATGGTTGTTTGGGTGGAAAAATCTTTATTACAATGGGCAAGCAAGAACACAATGGTCACATAGCTTATGTCTGCTCATGGGCCAGAAACCAACACCACTTTTAAACATCCTGTCAGATTTTAAGTTAAAAGACACGATACAAGAAAGGAACAACATAGGAACTAGAGACATTGTCCCTCAGGGTACTGTGAATTTGAAATAAAAATATGAATATAGTTAACTTTAATACTATACATGGATTAATTGTGGTCTATAAAATATGGTGAGATCCTGTACTTCTTTGGAAAAAACTCCTGTTGAGATAAATGAACTTGGTAAGACTCAGTGGGGGTTGTGTCTTGTAGGCCCAAGCACCAATACTGCAATGAAATCACAAGTGGACCCGTGACCACGCAGCATTCCACAAAAGAGCAGGAGTCCACCTGCATAGATTTCAGTACAGAAATGGGGCCTAAATGCATGTGTTAGGTGTTATTCGTTCTTGGCTTCTTTTTTTTGTGTGTGCTATGGCTAAACCATTTTCTCAAATTTAACATGACAGAAGTGCTCCACTTCCTTATGTAAGAATATTTAGTAGAAAAGTCTATCCATGTTAATATGAAATAATTCCCCCAAATAAGCTTCACTTGTGATGCATCTTAGCACTCAGCTTACTCATGTGTTGGGGGGTTCTGGATATCGGATGAAATATAGTAATTTAGCTATAGGGTTGACAGGACCATACCTCTTTCCACTCAGTGAATCTAATCAAAAGTATATAATTAGAAAGCTCTTCACCAACCTGCTGAATACAGAGCTTGAACTCTCTCCAAGTACTCATTTATCTTCTCTTGAATATTTTCCAAGTTTGAGCCTGCCATTCCAGCATAAATCAAGGCTTGGGCAGCTTCCTGAGGGAAAAGTTAACATGCAATAAATCTGCTTGCTGTAGGAAGAAGTCCTTCCTGCAAGATGGGGTTATGAGCGTGCAATGAGCTCTATGCAGGTGAGCCCCTAGGCCTGCAAAGCGCCACAATGACTTCAAGGAGGATCTGCCTGCACAAAACTTGTTTCAAGTCACAACTGAGGCCTCTGTTGTTTTTCCTTCCACTTAATATTTTAGCACATGGAGTGACCTGCAAAATTAAAATGAGCTTCCTGAGAGTCTATAAAGCCATCTCTTAGGACTTGTCTATACTAGATCAGTGCCCTGGCTTAACCGCGGCCACAGGGAGCTGAGGGGCTCCATGCCTGCAGACACTCCAGGTAAACAAAACGAAAATGTATTAGATATTCAATTCAATGATTCCATAGGAGTTTAAAATCAAATTTGATGTAGACCCGTTTATAAGCAGACCCCCACTCTTTGATGCGTCACCTTTTTATCAAAAATATTCGGTTTATGAACGAGTATATACAGTAAGTATAATGAGGTTTGCACAAGGAGAACCTGCAAGATCAGGCCCCAAGACACCTGTGCCTATGTGGAGCCTCGTTAATAATAATCAGACTATCACCTCTGATTAGGCAAAAGTCTTCAAAAGATAAGCACCATTACGGCACAAAGGTAGCTGTTCAAAAGATGAACATCCCAAGCTATTTTATTATAACTGTAGAATGGTCATGCTGTCAGAGTTACTACTGCTAGTCAATAAAAAGTGGATATTCTGTAGATACCATAAAGCTGATGTATTACATCTGAACTGGACTAGAACTTGTCACTTCAACATAATCAAAATAATTCAGAGGAAGTATTGTTGTAGCAGCTGTGGCCAGAGACTGGAAGTCGGGATTTTATTCTGAGTGCCACGAATGTGACACAAGACCATGGGCAGATCATGTAACCTCTCCATGCTAACCTCACACAGCTAAACAGTTGCCATTAAAACCGAGACCTCAGAGTGCAGTTAGGTCTGTAAAATGCTGTTAGATGAAAGGCTGCATAAGTATAAGCCAAGAATCATTATATGGGAATACACAAGTAGTATGTGGTTTGAACTCATCCCATTAATAACCTTTTGCATTGGGGCTTCACCACTTCAGTTACTCATTTTGTCATAAACAATACAGCTAAGGTTGATTGCTACTGTGTACAGTACTTAATAGCCCAAATTTGTTCATTTACAGTTTTCTAGCATACTTTGTTCTTAGATCTCTGATGTTAAACAGATGAATCTTCCCACTTCACTGTTAACCAAAAGCAAAAATGTCTCCAGGGGCTACCTGTGAAATGCACCACAAAAACAGAAGAAAAACACTGTATTTCTCTTCCTTTTGCAATGAGATCACATTAAGGTTCCTGACGTGCAATAATAAGGTTAAGTTTCTGTGGGCTGGAACTCCATCTGCTCCCATTTGTAAGTAGCTTCCAGATGACAAGTCCAACCAGTTTTAAAACACACAGGTAGTTTATTAGTTTCCGCAGTCTAAAAATAACCTAGGGAAACCGTATTTCTGAACTTGTATTTAAGGACACAGGTTACCCAGCTCCATCACCACCCCTCATGCCAAATGTGTTTTTCTAAATCACCTCTGATCAGGCAAATGTCTCAAAGTAATGGTAAAGTCTTCCCAATCCTCAGGGAAGAAAAATGGGTGGGGATGAGATCAAAAGGAAACCCATTGCATACATAGCCATTCACTTCCCTTCTCCACGAAGATGGGCCACAAGTGTTTAATACTCACTGCTCTGAGGAAGACTGTCTCCCCTCCCTTCATTCAGACAAACAGCCATGGGATCTGATAATATATCTTCTCCCCGAGACACCATTTTACACCTTGGGCTACACTCAAGGAGGAGTCCCCCACTAAACAACCCCACATCTCCCCCTCCATGCCCGCTTGGTAGCTGTGACTGGTCAGTGCCAAAACCCCAGGCGATCTTCCAGTCCCCACAGTCCAGTTCTAGGACTAACGCCCCGGGTGGAGGAGAATCCTCACAGTGTGGGGGACACCGATGAGAGTAATGTCTGCGGGCGGGGGGGGATCCATGCAGTAGACGGGAACACCCGGGGCAGCTACATGAAATCCGGGAGGTAGGGAGCTCCCGGGAGGGGTCCCGGGGCGATCCCGGCTGCAGCGGTGGGGGAGGGGAGAGGGTCGGGTCCCGATGCGATCCCGGCTGCAGCGGTGGGGGAGGGGAAGGGTCGGGTCCCGGGGCGATCCCGGCTGCAGCGGTGGGGGAGGGGAGAGATCCCGGCTGCAGCGGTGGGGGAGGGGAGAGGGGAGGGGTCCCGGGGCGATCCCGGCTGCAGCGGTGGGGGAGGGGTCCCGGCACCTTGTAGTAAAAGGCCGCCTCCTGGTAGCGGCCGCCTTGGTCTCGCTGCACCGCCAGCTGGGCGAACTTCACCGCGTCCAGCTCTAGCGCCGCCGCGTCCATGGCCAGACCGGACCCCGACCCACGCTCGTTCGCTCCCTTCTTCCGCTTCCTCCCTGCGCCAGCTCCCGCCCCGCCCCTCGCACCGGCAGCTCCGCCTTGGCCGAGGCTTCCCCGACTCCGCCCAGCTCGCGTGCAACCCGCTCCTGCGCATGCGCACACAGGTGGTTTCGGTTTCTCCGGGAGGAGGGTTACTGCTGCGCCTGCTCGGGGAGGGAGGCCGGGCTAGACTCCCCCCCACCCCGCCAGAGCCGGTCTCGTGCACGGGCTGCCTTCCACGTGTGCGGCTCGGTCGCTGCCCTGCTGCTGTGGGACGCCCGGTCAGCTGCAGGCGGGGTTAGGGGGGCACAGCCCTGGTTGCAGGTTATCGACTGGACGGGAGCGCTCATTGGTGCTGGCCGTTAGCCCGAGTTTATGCTCTTTTCTATTTTGCACTGTAGAATGCAACTTCCAGTTTTAAAAGGATGTCTTTCTGCTTTTAATCACTTCTTTTGCTTCCTGGAAAGCACAGTTTTTTGGTCCTCTATGTATTTTAATTTGGGAAATACATTTAATTTGAACCTCTCTTACAGTATTTTTAAAAAGTTTCTATGCAGCTTGCAGGCATTTCACTCTTGTCACTGTGCCTTTTAACTTCTGTATAACTAGCTACCTTATTTGTGTGTAGTTTCCCTTTCTGAGGTTAAATGCTACTGTGTTGGGCGATCATGCACTAAGCAGAGCACTGTTTTCACAAGACTATCCAGCCAAAAAGCTAAAGCAAATGCTGATGTTCTTGTTTGCTATATACATTTTATTGCTTTGGTCATGTTGTTAATCATATAGAACAGTCACTTTAATCAACATGAGGATTGCAAATTATGTGTTGCCCATTTAATCTTTCATACAATATTTACTGTATAAAATGACTTGAAAATGTATGACGAGTGATGTTTGGAAGGTCTATGCAAGCATTTGGAATTGCATGCAGGCACTAGATTAGCGATTGCTAATGAAATGATGTTACATGGCATTAAATAATTTCCAGAACTATGATTGCCTATCGCTGACTCAGCACTGAGGCAAAACACTATGGAAAATAAACACCTATTTCAACCGTCAAATGTCAATCCTGTTTCAGCTTTGTATCACAATGGCTGTTTCTATTCTGCAAACTATTGCTGTAGACAGTAATCAATATGTTTAATATATTTTGGTCAACTGGAATAAGAGTTGTTCTCTGTGGCTTGGTTGATCTGTGGCATTCAGGCTGCCTCAGTACAGCCCTGACCAAATTTACTCCTGGGGGAATTCTGTGCCACTGTGCAGGCACAGAATTTATGTCCCCCCCATAGATTTCTTTGCTTCCCCACAGAAAGGGAAAGCAAAGGGAAGCCACAAGAGCAGTTATGTGACCCTCCCCAGCAGTATATTTCAGGTGGCTGAGAGATAAATCACTGTAGGGCAGGGGTCGGAACTTGTGAAGACCCGTCTGGTGGCTCTTACGCTGTGCTGGGCTCAGCGGCTAGTCACGGCTGAGCTGGGGAGGGCGGGACTTTCTCTTCCCCTGCATGGCATCCAGGGCCAGGTCAGACACCGCCCCAGATTTCTCCCCTGGCTGTAGGAAACTGCAAACTCTCCCCTGCCTGCTTCCTGCACCCATTGCTCTTGAGGGGGAAGGATTCCTGTACAGGGAGCTACTCCCCCATCTGCCCAACCCCCATGCATCCAGACCACCTCATACACAGACCCTCCCACTGAGCCTCACCCCCTGCACGCAGAACCCCCTTGATGAGCCCCATTCCCCCTGCACCGATGAGCCAACTGCACCGGGATTCCCACCCCACCAAGCTCCAACCAGTTGCACTTAGAGCCCCACCACAATGAGGCCCACTCCCCCAGCATCTGGACCCCGCATTGAGCTCTAGGCCCCCCCCCATCCAGACTCCCTCCCTGCTGAGCCACAACCACCTTCACCTGGACCCCCCTGCAGAGTCCCATTACTGTTGCACCCAGACCCTCCAACAAGCCCCTGTGCATCCAGATCCCCCCCGTGACCAGATCCCCAACTGAGCCACCCATACCCAGATTGCCCCACATTAGATTGAGAACCATCTCAGCCCACAGCTGGATCCCCCCACATTAAGCCCCTCCACACTTGGGATTCTGCCTTGCTGAGCCTGCCTGCCACACAGAGGGGCAGGGCCCCGGAGTGTTTCTGGGGCAGGCCCGGCCCTTGTGCTGTGTCAGGGTTGGGTGCAGCATCAGCACCGAGTCCGTGTCCGGGTGGGAAGGGAGAAGGGCTGCAGGGTGATCTCCCACCTGCATGCAGTCAGTGGCCTGTGCTCCCCACTGCCATGCTGGAGCCTCCACCTTTATTTATTGACAAATACAATTTGCAGAATTTTAAAATATTGTGCACAGAATTTTTATATTTTTGGCACAGAATTCCCTCGGGAGTAATTAATAGACACATGAATGTGTCTGGATCATCACTGAACTGGAACCCTTTTTGTAAGCAAGCTAAATAATATCCTACCTTACACAGTTTTCACACAATCAGATTAATGCTTTGAAACCTCCAAGTGACAGCCTGCACACATGTAGACCGCGTGAGTACAGTATGTTTCTGTTTAAACTATTACTGACCTCTCCAGGTTTTTTTGTGAGTAATACCTTTCAAACCTAATTATGCACTGGATCAAAGTTATTTTAGGGAAGAATTATTGATGGGTCTAGCATGTGTTTTGAATAACTTGTTGCTATTGTATAGATTTGTCTGTCCTAATTGGTTTTGAACTATATTCCATAAGTATGTTGTTATTTCTGGAATCCGTACTAGAGCTGGAATCTTGACTTTCAATTATGGTCAAAGCCTGTTCGGTGAGTGGAAGTGTATACTCTGAATTATTAATGTTTTTCTTCTTATCCACCAGCCAGTATAAATCATTTTGGAGCAGTTACTTATAAAGTTCATTATCCCGTAAGAAGTTCTTTTCTTTGCAGTAAATATTTCCTACTCAACAAGATTAGGGGTTAATTTGAGCCTGCATTTTATTAAAATTTCCAGGAACTAAGAAACATGCACTGAAAATAGTGCAGACTCCATCAATTATTTTGATAATTTTGAATCACATTCAGCTGGTATTACTGGATAATTCAATTACTGGCTTAAAAATACTAATATTAAAGAATACTAACATTTCCCAAATAAAAAATCATAGTAAGAGAACCCAAAAAAAAAGCCACTGTGGTAAACAACAAAGTAAAAGAAGCAGTGAGAGGCAAAAAGGCATCCTTTAAAAAGTGGAAGTTAAATCCTAGTGAGAAAATAGAAAGGAGCATAAACACTGGCAAATGAAGTGTAAAAATACAATTAGGAAGGCCAAAAAAGAAATTGATAAATTAAACAGCAATAAGTCACCAGGACCAGATGGTATTCACCCAAGAGTTGTGAAGGCTCTGTGAGTGCGGGTGATGTGGGCCCAGCCCCCACCAGCACCAGAAGGGCCCAAGCTCGGGCCATGGCACAGGGGAAGCTGCAGAGCAGAAAGCAGGAGAGGGGAAGCCTGGGGGTGGAGTGTGGGTGGGGCCATACCTGGCTGTTTGGGGAGGTACCGCCTCCCGCAGCCAATGATAGCTGTTGTCCATGCTTCCCCTGCATCAAACTTACCTGTGCTCAACTGTCGTGACTGGCTGGACTGCACTGGAGTAAAAAACATGTTCTGGCTCACTGTCCCCCTGGATCCCCTGGTCACCTGTCCCCCATAATCCTCCTCTTCCTCATCCACCTCCTTCTCCTCCTCGCTGTTCACAGTGGGGGCCTAAGACTTGGGCTCCTCCTAAGTATCCACGGGACTCTTGGGTGTGGTGGTGGGGTCTTCACCAAGGATGGCATGGAGGTTTTTGTAACAGTGGCAGGTCTGTGGTTCCACACCAGATCTATTGTTGGCTCCCTTGCCTTCTGGTATGCCTGCTGCAGCTCCTTGGCTTTCATGCGGCACTGCTACTGGTCCTTGTTATACCCCTTCTCCTGCACGCCCCAAGCATCTGCTTGTAGATGTTGACATTTTTACATCTGGATCAGAGCTATGCCTGCACAGCCTCTTCTCCCCACAGACCCAGGAGATCCAACACTTCCTGTGTACTCTAGGCAAGGGTGTGTCTGCAGTGTTTAGCTGTCATGGTCAGCTGGGCATTGCACACAACAATGGAGAGCTGCTAGATGTGCTCGCCAAGCCGCGCAACCAAGGAAAAGGAATTTCAAAAATTTGTGGGATTTTAAGGGGAAGGGGCAGCTTCCTGTCCATCAGGCCCTGGGCCGCGGAGTTCACAATAGTGACCAGAGCGGGCACCGTCGGACAGTTTCTGGAGGCCAGTAACAGTTGATGTATGTAATGCAGTGTCTACACTGACACCATGTCAACTTACCTATATTAACCTTGACTCTATGCTGCTCGGGGAGGTGGTGTTATTAAGTGGACGTAATGGGGGCAGTTTCGTCAGTGGGAACAAAATTTAAGTGTAGACACATCCACAACTAGGTTGATGTAAGCTGCCTTGCATCGACCTAACTGTGTAGTGTAGATCAGGCCGTAGGAAGTATTTCTAGCGGTGATCTTTTCACTCTGCTTCCCTACAGAGTGTTGGAGGAAGTAGCCTGCTCTTGTCTTGGCTGTCCCAGTGGTTAAGTATTAGCGGCCTGGAACTTGACTTTTCCACTGTAAAGACAGGGTCTTTCATTCATGTGCATAGATTCCAGCCAGTTCTTTTTAAATGGTCTGATTCCAAGCAAAACAGTTTAGTGACTCAAACCCCTAGCCCTTACCCTTTCCTCACAATGGATAGCAGTAAAAAGTAGGCACCTTGATTCAGACATATGGTTAATAAAAATATTACTGAAACTTTCTGCCTTCCTCACAGTGTACAGCTTAGCATATCATGGACATAAATTCTGGTATCTGGTATTCTGGTATCTCAGTAGTTTTTCTACAACAAAATGGACAATGAATTTGAGAAGACAAGATGTACACTATTCAAATTGCTTGGTTCTTTGTAAAATTTACCTGTAGTGTTTACATAATTCCCCAATGTTTC